AAAAAATACAAAAGAAGGAAGAAAACAGAACATAACGGAACATTTTCCATATTGAGATTTCTTTCAGATATGGTTGAAAATAAAGTGTTGTATCAGGTTTTTTTCTCTAGGCATTAATATAAGATCTCTGAACTGAAAATGACCATAATAAATTCAAACTGGAGAATCCCATTATGATAGGAAGTGGGCACAGAAGTATGACTTGACACCGTCATTGGCCAGGAGATCATGAGCATCTTATTTAATGTTCTGAATTTGTCTCATATTTATTCATAGGAGAAAACTGTGGCCTAGAGTACTTGAAAGACTTTCTCTTGGACACATTATAGCTCATATGTGTATTATTAAAAAAGTTAGAATTCTTTTTCCTAACCAGGCCAAGTTGCTTTCTTTTTTTTAAACACTTTTAGGGGATAACAATTATGTTTTGAATACTCAGAAAAGATTAAGAGTACACATGTTTCCAACTCCATACACTCAGATATATAGAAAAGATGAAGTCCTTTTGTTTTGTTGGTATCTTAATCTGTTTTTTAAATTTTTTATTGAGTTTTTGTTCATTTCATACAATAGTTCTTAACCAAATTAAGACCCCTTCTCCCATCCATTGCACCCTCCCCCCACTGGGCCTCATGTATTCTGCCATACACGTTAAGTCCCATCTGATTAAGCATTTTATCTGGATGTCCTTTGGTGCAAGTTCATCTACTGGAGTAAAGAAGGTCTACTCTCCCTCAACCAGCAGTAATCAGTCTCCTCCTAGTAATCAGGCTAGGGCTGGCACACCACTCACTCCCTTCCCATAACTCTGAGCCCTTACCTGATTGAGTTGGCATGGGTCTTATGCTCAATGCCTGCCACAAGTTCACATGAGTATGCTTCCAGTGGCCTGAAAGCTTCTGTTTCCCTATGTTCATGGACCAACCTGGCTCTTACAATTTTTCTACCCCCTCTTCCACAATGCTCCGTGATTGTGGGTGGATGAGGTTTAATACAGGAGTCCTACCCAAGGATACACACTCTTGTCTCTTATTCTCTAAAACTTAGGCAGTTGTGGCCCTCTGTGTGCATAATACTCTGTTGTATAAGGAGGCCTCACTGGTGAGAGTTGAGGGATGCATTAGTTTTCTCTCTACCCCTTGTTCCACTTTGTTCCATGAGCCTTAGGTGTAGAGGTTCTACTGTAGATATGTCACCTAAGGCTGGGCATCTCTCAGACGTATATTCTCTGTGTCTGACCAATTGTGGAACTCTGTAGTACCCTTCATCTGTTGCAAAAGAAATCTTCTTTAATAAGTGGTATTAAATATAAGGATCTGTAAATATAAGGATCCATATTTAGGACATGGTAAGGAATTACATTTGCCTAGAGATATGACAGAGACAGGGTTTTCTCTAGAATCTATGGTCTTTCCAGACATGTCTATTTAACTTTATTTACAGTGCCACCCATGAGTTCAGTCCTATTGAAGGACTTTAAGTCCAATTAGATAGCTGTTGATTACTCCAAAGTGGTGCCAACACTGCACCAATAAGGGTAGTGTGCTGTGCCAGTTATTATGTTTAAGTGACTTTAGGACTGGGTTGAACCATTGATTGATTTTCTCCCTTAGCAGCTTGCATAGTATCCTGTAGAACTATGAGAGCTAGTCTTTGGGGAAAAAGACTTCCAGGTCAGTTCCTGTTCCATTGCTCCAAGTCCTGTGTCTGAATTATGACCTGTCTTCAGCAGTAGGGTCTTACTTTCAAGTTCTGGGAGATAACCAATACCCTCTGTTATTTTGGGAGTCTCTTGGACTATTCTAACCAACCCCTAGAAGGGAGGTCTCTCTGGTCTGGCGCTGTGTTCCTTGCCATGTAGCCCCCCAGGTGTACACATGCCCTATGTTCAGATACCATATGTATATTTATCAGGGGGCTCCCATGCCAACTCATTTCCCTCTGTCTTTCTATGCCACCCATGATCTGTTCACCTCTCCTCTCTCTTCCTGTCCAACCTTCCCCCTCCCTCCCTAGTCCAAGTGCTCCCATTAGCCCCACCCTTTCACCATATCACCCCTCTCCTGAGTTCCTTTTCCCCCCACCCTCATGGTCCCCTGAATGTCCTTCTCTCTCCTTTCTCAGCTGAACACTCCCATTTTCCCCACTTCCTCAGGTAATATCTGTTCCCTAATATCACCCTATCTGGGGCTTTTTCTTTCCCTTTACCTCCATGTTTCCATTTTCCTGGCTCCTACTGTTACATCAGTATATATCAGGGTATATACTTACATATAGGGCTTTGGTGTTATACTAAGTGAAGTTACACAAACTCCTAAAAGCAAGTGACATATGCTCTTCCTCTTTTGAGGATCATAGCCCCAAGCTGCTTTCTACAATATTAGTCTACCTCAAATGCTCATCAAGCAGTTAATTTTTTGTGATATTGACATTCATGATGTGATCAGGGCTTTATATATATATAATATGAATATATATGAGTATATATGAATATGTGCTATAAAAGTAATATATACATACATATGACAAGAAATATTTAATTAAATTTATCCAAATCATATCATTCTCACCAGTAACTCTAAATAGGACTTTTATGCTGGAAGGAATAACTAAAGGGATGGTTTATATCAGTTGAGATCTGCTGAATTATGCTGTAAAATATTCTGCAATCTCAGTGGCTTAAAACCAAGTTTATTTACCGTTCCTTATACATTGTCCACCATGGATCAATAGAGGCTTTGTTCATCTATTTGTTGTAGTAGACCTTGAACATCATTGGTTTCCATGCCAGGGAAAATGAATGATTGATGATTGGGGTAAGGAGCATGATCTTGGAAATTAATTCTTCTGACCTGAAAGTGACACACATAGTTTCCATCCTGAATTCATTGACCCAGAACAAGTCACATCACATGGACTCATACAATTAAAAGGGAACCAAGTAGTTAAGTTCTGTTCTTCTAGGAAGAGGAAGAGACCAATACTAATGATCACCAATGACGTATGAGGTGTTATGGTTCTGTTAAGGGCTGGGAAACTTTAAGAATCATTCATATGGGGGCTGGACAGATGGCTCAGTGGTTAAGAGCACTTGCTGTGCTTAGAGAGTACATGGGTTTGATTCCCAGCACCTACATTGGAGGCAACTCACAACTGCCTGTTAACTACAGTTCTAGGGAATTCAGCACCTTCTTCTGCTCTCAATGAGCACCAGCAAGAAGACATACACCCTCAGGCACATATGCATAAAATAATAAATAAATATTTTGTTTTTTAAAACTATAACATTTTTTTTTTTTTTTTTTTTTTTTTTTTTTTGTCTTTTTGAGACAGGGTCTCCCTATAGCCCGAGCTGTCCTGGAACTCACTATGTAGACCAGGCTGGCCTTGAACTCACAGAGATCCTCCTGTCTCTGCCTCCCAAGTGCTGGGACTGCAGGCGTGCGTCACCATACCTGGCTTAAAAAGTATAACTTATATGAAAATTCCTGAGGGGCCTGGGAGAAAACACAGTCAGTAAAACGATTGCCATTCCTTAGCCAGGTGAATTAGAACACGCCTATAATCTCAGTACCTAGGAGGCAGAGGAAAGGTCAGCCTGGGCTGCATAGTGAAACCCTACCTTCAGAAAGAATTCCCACATCCCTACTCCCGACAAAAATAAGCAACAAGACAAAGAAAGGAACAACAAACAAAGAAATAGAAGAACTAATTGTGTAAACAAAAATTTCCTATAAAATCGCCAGCCTTTACAGGATATTGTCAGTGATTTGAGAATGAAATGGGACATTTTTCAACCTCCGTGTATTTTCCATAAGCATCGTTTTTTCCCCCGTGTGTAAACTTTGGTTAGGTGTAGGTGTTCTTCCCATTGGTTTCCTTTTTATTCTCTGACTGGTTTTTGCTCCCTGAACACTAAGACAGATTATAGCTCTGTTGACTCCCCGTTGCTATTCTGCATATTAATCATTCTGACAAAATCTTTGTTACTTTTGGCTTATCCATTTGATTCTCTGTCTAGATTCTTACGTGTATTTCTTATTGATTGGAGTTCAGTCATTTTATTGCATAAAACAACAATATAATACCATTTAGAATTTTTTGTATGCTTTGCTTGGAGAGACGAAGTAGGACCGAAAGTGACTAAGAACAGAAGTCATGAATGAGGGAAATGGTGGAAAATGGAGAAGGGAAGGCAATGAAGGCAATTTAGGCTAGAGTCCATTAGAAATGGTAGAATTAAATGGGTCTTCTGTCAGGGTTAGAAAGCAAGTCCCTAAAGAACTGAGTGGCTGGTACCTTAGTAATAAAATCATTGATTCCCCTTATCTCTTTTGTTTGTCTTGATTACAATCTCAGATATTACTAGATATCCTTTTCATTCTAAGAAGGTAGTGGTTTCCTTCGGCATCACAATGTCACAGTTTTCTTCATCTCTAACCTTGGAAGGAATGTCCAAGCTCAGTTCTCACATGTTCAGGCCCTACTAAGTGACTGCTTTGAACAGCATTTTTTCCAGAAAAATTTAACAAGATCTTTTTCCTATATTATAAGCCTCAAATAACATAAGTTTCCCCAAAATATGTTAGGAAAATCATCAAGTACTTAAATTTTGAGTTTAATAACTCCAAATAGAGAAAAGTGAGTATTCCTTTTTTCAATTCTAATTGTCTTTCAACAAAGATACATGCTCTCTTTACTAGGTCTACAATAGTAGCACTGGCTAATTTTTATTTAAAATGTTGTTCCAAAATTAGACAAATTATCAAAAATAATTGAACCTTTCTTTTTTCAATAATCTTTCTATTACAAAGAAATTCTGACTTAATGAAACTAAAGCAAAATATTGACTACTTGGACTATCTTTTACATATATCTAAAAACCCATGGAAACAAGAAACAATATGAATGTCTTTCTACTTGTACATTTTATTATAATAAAAGGTAATTCTTACACAATGTTATATTTAATATGGTCACGAGAGTATTTATTTATACAGGTGGTTGAAGTTTGAAGAAGATGTGGAGGATGGAGGTGAAAGGTGGAGCAAGCCATATGTGGCTACTCTGTCATTGCACAGCTTGTTTGAGTTGAGAAGCTGTGTTCTGAATGGGACTGTGCTACTAGATATGCATGCCAACACTTTAGAAGAAATTGCAGGTATGTCTTTTGTCACACTGGTCTACTGAATTCTTTTGACCTCAGCTGAGTTTTGTTGCTGTTTTTCTTAAACATTCCATATATGTGAACTGTGGAAATGATCATGATCTGTGTAAGAAATATTAAATAATATTCTCCTGTCTCTTCATCTGAAATAAAAAAAATTGGATATCAGTTAAATATCATCTATCTTATAAGCGGTGAACATAGATAACTTGATCTCCTTCAGCACTCATTATTTTAATTAGCATATTTAGGCTGATAACCATTAGAAATTTGAAGGGACACAAAAAACTTCATAGTTACAGACTGTTTTCAGTATTTCAATTATAAGAGAACCAAATGAAAAAATTAATGAGGGAAATATTAGTTCAGATTAAATACACAGATGTATGACTTTTAATTTTAAGCCAAATTAAAATTCTTACACTCCAGAGTAAACTAAAGACCGAGTTGTTATTTGTCTTCTAATTTAATACTAGGCTCAGCTCCGGGGATGAATGATTTGTTTTGGAACCCAATTATGGCTATATAACATAAATTGTGTTTTTTGATCTAGAAGACAGCATGCAATGAAACTAAAATAATAAAAAACGTAGAAATATAAATAGAAATCAGTTTAGAAAGAGTATAAATGAAATCACTAAATGAGGTTTTTAAAATAAAGGAGCCAGTGAGATAACTCAACAGATTAAGGTGCTGCCTCCGAACCTGACAAAGTTAGTTCAGTCCAGACCCACATGGTGGAAGGAGGGAACTAATTTCCACAAGTGATCTGACCTCAACACATACATCATGGCATCTGTGCACATGCGCACATACATATGCATATATGCACAATCACAAATACACACACAAACACATAAATAAATAAGGAAATATAATAAAAATTTAAAAGAAAAGAATGAGATAAGTTTATAAAACACCTAGTTTTGGGAAAAATAACTTCTGTACAGGATGCATTGGTGAATTAACTAGACTCAGGAGACTTTAGTATCTAATTTAGTGATATTGTAGAGGTGGAGGGGAAAAGCCTCAAAACTATGTGTGTAGTTTTTAACTTTCAAATAAAAATTTAAATTACAAAAATA